CTTCCATACGTCCTCTACAACCTTGACCCATTCCGTGGGTTGTCTACCCCTCTTTTGGTTTGCCCACTTCGCCTCCCATACTATTCTCGGCAACCTCTCCTCTCTCATCCCTCACATACGATACTGCCATGTCAGCTTCCTTACGTCTCTTCCCGACCGTAGGGATTGGATCCCCAATTCTGCCCTGACGGCTGCATTACTTGTGCGCTTGGAGCATCCTAGGATGATTTTCGCTGCTTTCATCTGCGCCGCCTCGAGTTCTTTCACTACCTTCTTATTTCCTTCCCATACTTCTCCGGCGTACTCTAGCGGCGGTACGATTACCCCTCTTTGGAGGGGGGCAACATTGGAAGCACGAATAGGCCATCCGAGTGACCGGTTCGATTCGCGGACGTTCGCTTGCAGCGCGGCTTGGCCGTGTTTACGGTTGTATGTGTTTCCTGGCGTACTGCATCATGTCGAAATGGAGTCATCCCACGGCATTCAATCAGTGCACGGTGCAAACTGCACGACCCTTACGACGACGTATTGCTGTTGCGTCTTTGCTTCTTCCCTCTGTGCTAGACGTGGCAATCGTTGAGGGAGGGCCGGATTCCGCCGCTCGGTGCGGCGCAACCTGTCCTTGCTAATGCGGCGACACCTGGGAGAGGTTCCCACGGGTGAGGAGACCGATTTGTGGTCTGGCATTCCGTTGCTGAAGGAAGGCATCAACACGCTTGTTGTCTACTATTATAGAGGCTTTGGCAGCGCCTGCGTATCTCACAGCATTAAGATGATACCCGACCTAGTTTCTCACGACAAGCGCTAATCACTGCAGACGTATGGCAACCATCAGGCGAGCGATGTATTGGCTTAGACATGAACAGCTCGGTAGAGTCTATCGTCATATGATATCTTCTTTTAGTCCAGCAGGATAGTTCTACCAAACTGGACAGACGTCGTGTATGCAGCTGCTGCCCTTGGTGACGCGAGTATATTACCGTTTGGTCTCATTTCGTGCCCGTTGTTCGGGCTACGGGTGTCTTGTTTCGAGGAATAAAAAATGTTCGTCCACCTAGGTAGGACGGAGCAAGCGTCTTTTTACAAACGTGTACCTTGCGGTCATCTACCGGGCTTTCCAAGCGGAGGCGTTTTCTTTGACGACCGACAGTTCTTGAAAACGCCCGTATGCACACTGCCGTTCGTGGTGCGTTTCATGCATCAAGCTCATTCAGTGTATGCGCCCGATGTGGTATTTAGGGGGTGAGAGGCTTAGCTGCTTGGGCATGGGTTGGTCGCCGTGGCGTCTCACAACTTAATTTCATGCGAGAGCTCAATCGGGAATGAACGTGTAGCCCGAGAACATATTGACAAGTGCACGTGAGGGTTCGGACTCCACCCCCACCCCCCCCGGCACGGCACATCGATCCATTCTCTGCAAACATGACTTCAACTCGTGTCTGTTGTTTCTGGGGAACCTACAGGAGGGATGCGATGGACGTCGACGACGCGGACCTGCTGGACGCACCCCCTCAAAGACCGCGCGGGGAGAGGAGCGTGTGTGCTAGGATCATGGCCACCTTCGGTTTCTACTGAGTGAAGGCGTTTTTCGCGAACCTCTTCCTTTTTGTAGGATTCGTGCACGCGACGCTAAAGAGGACGAAGAGGAAACGTAGCCAAATTACAAATTACCTCTTGTACGAGTAAAACGAGTGCCGAGCTGTATCTCCATGTTGTACGTGTGGTATCTCGATGTGTGTGTTCGTTGGGGCTGTGGAGAGGGGGGCGCCGAAACCGCGTTTGCATACACATGCGGATTTGGCAGTTCAATCTCGGCGAAGGGTTGTGCTGTGTTTTTTTCCCTAGGGCACCTCAAAGCAAGCCTCCTGGTGAAATATTTGAAATATTTAAGGGTTAAGGGGGATGTCGCTAGTGACTTGTGTCTATCGGACTGCAGCCTACTCCATGCTTGATCCATCCCCCTTTTACGCTGCAGTGGATTTTTTTGTGTGCTGTTGACGTCGCGGAGTGTTTGGGTGATGAGTAGTGTAGGTATGACAGTCTGTTCGTTGTCTCATGACGGGCGGTGCTGGTCCCATCGCACGCACGTCTGTACCGAGCGAGTGGGAATTTGGTCGTTGGCTTGGACTTTGCGTAAAACTCGCCCTCCCCTTGCCCTCAAAAAAGAGTATTTTACCTCAACGGAGGTGACTGCTGCATTTGCATTGAACCCCATGAGGTGCATATCAAGAGTTTAAATTACCCGGTAAATGGTTCATTCGTGCAAGAAATCAAACCGTTCCTAGTGTTACAAGGGAAGCAGAAGCTGCGAGAGAGAGCGAGTGCAGCTGACCCAAAGATCAAGTTGTAACCGCCAAAACCCTGTGGGTTCTCGATTTCCTACAAACGCTTGGTGGCGACACCCTTGCCTCAACAATGCCATGAGGACCGCCCCTCTTACGCGACTATCAATATACATGGGTATGGGCGGCATTTACCCCGACGCCCTGCTCGTCTTGAAATTGGCATTACTCGCCATTTTCAGAATGAATGCACCATTCCTGTTTCTTTCCGCGCTCGTGAAGGAGACTAGAACGCTCAAGCTGGAGTGAGTATCCTCTGCAGGACTGCCATAGCTTGTTGGACCAAAGAAAAGCAACACATCTCAGGCACAAAACACGACAAATTTTTGTCATGTATCAGTTCACTGCATGACTGAAAACAATCGTCTAGGCGGTTTATATTGCGCTCTTGTTTTCTCACGTTCGCAAGCGAACGATTCTTGACAAACTTCTCGGAGTAAGACCAACTCCACCGCCAACCACGTAAGTGCGCAACATTCTGAACAACAAAAACAGAAAGCATCAAGCCTATGGCTACAGACAGCATTTGATGATCATCTTCGGAACCCGAGCGTCCCACCTTGACAAGGACACCAGACTTGCTTGCATCCTTCAAGCCCGCACGATGGCAACGGTGCTTTCAAAGGCCCCCCTCGGTCAAAACACGCCTTTCTTGCCGAAACCGCGGCCGCGCACAACCAACACGCAGCTACGGGGGGATACACCATCCCCGAGGAAACAAGGGTCCAGACAAGGCGGGGCGGGCACACACACAGACGGCTGAGCTACACTGATGCTCCGAATTTTTCGCACGAGCATGCAACAAATGACACGCTACATGGCGTCACCGGCCAGGCCTGGCGTGCCCGTTCTCCTTGACCTTCCCGTCTGCAAGCCTTGTGCGAGCAGCACCAGAAGGCACGCGAGCTTCCCGTTCCGTCCCCTTCCACACTGCGCCTTCTTCCGAGGAAGAGAGAGGGGAGGGCCGCCTTTCTTTTTTCCATGTAGTCACCGCCTTTACCGGACCGTTTCTACTTTGTTGCCGCCGAGATACCGTTGGAGCGAACCGGCGAGGCGTTCTTGGCCCTCTTCTCTTCTGCCTCCGAGTTCTTGTGCGCGTCGTGGGTGGTAGGCTTCTTGAAGTTCCTCATGTCCAGTTTGCTGGAGTTTGGTCGTCGGGGGAGGAGCGGGGCGTTCCATTGCCATTGTCAACGAGAAAAGCAAGTGGCACGGGACGGGACGGGGGAGGAACTCTGTATCAATTCTGCGGTGCTCGTGCAAGCACATGGGGGGGCAAATTATAAATAATAGCTACAGCGGGGGGCTTCAGTAGTGCCAGTTGGAAAATGCCGGTGCCCGGTATAGTGCCGGTCTTTTCGGCGGGCACAGAGGGAATGACCAAGTCATTCTGTACTCTGAATAGTGCCCGCATGTTGGTCTGGTCTACACTGGCACTACCGAGGCCCCCCCACCGTACTTCCACAACAACACACCGTTTCGTGAACTAAACACACCAACGAGGTGTCCACATGGAGTATTTAATGTCCACAGCAAGTACAAACGCCCCCACACAGCAGCGAATAACACCAACACGATACGTGGACACACCGCTACGTCAGACAGCTCAGCGCTAGTAGGTCGAGAGAGACGTCGCCGCTTTGACGGACCGAGCCCTGGCATGACCAAGCAAGCAACAGCGTGCGTAAAACCACGGGCCAGCAGATGTCGGGCGTCTGATACTGAGTGGCCTACGCCAGGCCAAGCATCTTCCAACACTACACAAAAGACAGCCCCCATGATGCGTATGCCGCGAAACACGCCCACACGCATTGTGCAAACCCTTGCTACCTCAGCAGCGGCGAATAGTTACAGGCACTCGTATCGTAAGACATACCTGAAGTATTCGATGGTTTTGGCCAGGCCCTCCTCGAGGGCCACGTTTGGCTCCCAATCCAACGCGCTCTTCGCGAAGCTGATGTCCGGCCGGCGCTGCTTCGGGTCGTCCTGCCATAGATCGATCAGTCGGATCCATCAGTATCAATGTGCACAGCATGTGATGGGCGTTGACGCTGTGCACATTTCTGGCTTTCTCTCAACAAACACAGCAGCGAACAGAAATAGAACATAACCATATTCGATCCAAACGGACCTTATGTTGTTCCCAGGCTAACCTCTACAGTCCCGTCCAGTGCCTCTAACCTCACTCCAACTGAAGAGCTTTCTGATGCGGCAACAGACGGAACACAGTTCCTCTGCTGTGCATGTCTTTCGCCCTCTGGCGCGAGAAAAGGGTTATTCTTGCTCTCTCCACTCAAGGACAAGAGTACTACCTCGTGCCCAAGCGGTCAAAACCGCCGTGGTAGATTACGACGTGCATCTGAACCTGTCAAGCTCGTTTCCCAAAGAAAACAAGATCAAAGCGCGGCGCCGTTTCTTTTTTACCTGCGGCAGCGGCTTGTAGATGATCTTGCTGGGAGACTTGGTGAGGCGGACGGTCATCTCCGCTAGCTGCTTGATCGTGAACTCTGTCGGGTTGCCGATGTTCATGGGCCCGATCTGTAACGGCCGAAAGAAGCGCACGAATTCGAGTGTTGCGTGAGATGAGGTGGGAGTGAGGGTATTCTGCACGTGGACTTGACGCTGTCGCCGTATAGGGACGTGACAAAGGAAACATCATCGAGGGTGCAGCAGCAGTAGCAGAAGCACCAACAACGACGACGACTACGACAACTGACAAGATCCAGGAAGGTGGTCACACCTACACGTTAACGCGGTATTACTGTGGCGTGGGCCCTAGGAAAAGGATCAAACAAGGACACGTTGTAGCTATGCCTGTCCTGCGCCGGGCTCATGCGCACCGAGAGGTCCCGTCGACAAAAGACGGCGTTTCTTTGACCGACTGCCATCAATGCTCCGGTAATTGCGAAAAACTCAAAACGGAGAGCCACACCGCCGTACTTTAGTGGCTTGTTGGACTACGTTCGTGCGTGTGCCACGCATTGAAAGGCTGCGTGCTCCCACGATGTCAGCTCTTTGCAACGACTTTCTCGGAGGCACGTTATCGTGGGCTGGGCGTCGACTCTCTCCGCCGCGGGTACCGCACCAGCAACGTTTAAACGCCACGTCATATTCCACACGGCCTCACAGCAATTACCGAGAAGTCGCACGCTTTCCGCGACGTACGATTTCCCTCCGAAAAACGACCGGAACCACGCCAGGCCGTGGCCATGCTAAATAAGCCAACCCGACCAACACAGATAGACGCCCCTCTTCTCACGCTTCGAACACACCAAACACACCTCCGTGTCGTTGTTCATGAGCCTCACGAGCCCCTCGATCAGGTCGTCTACGAAGCAGAACGAGCGAGTCTGGCCGCCGTCCCCGTAGATGGTGATGTCCTCTCCGCTGAGAGCCTGCATGATGAAGTTGCTCACCACCCGCCCGTCTGCAGCAGCGGCGAGCGAGGTGGAGCGGGGCGGGGTCAGGCGCGCGCAAGCCACAAACGGAGGGGAAATGTTTGGAGAATCCTTGGACAAATCTACTGAGTCGAGTGTTTGACAAGCACCATGTGTGGTGAAGGGAACACACCATTGCTTTGACAACATGCCTGTGTTAAGGTACCCCACTTTGGACCGCTACACTTGATGCGACCCCCGTATATACGCCAGCGCTGGCGTTGATTGAACTCGCCAGTTTAACAGTTTTTGGGTTGTGGTTAGAGGTAGACACGAAATCAAAGCAACTACCGTATATGACACAAGAAAACACACCCCGGTGATAACATTTTGGAGTTTGAAAATATTATCACCGGGTGTGGTATCCTGTGGGGGGGGTGTTATCTTGTGTACCCCGGGTGATAAAGTGCAGCTCGCAGGGGGCCCAAGGGGGTGTGATAAAACAGGGGGTGTGATAGCGCGTCCGAACACCCACAGCGTGTGTTTGGGGGTGTGATAAATGAGGGGTGTGATAAAAGGGGGTGTGATAGCACGTCTGCTGCGGTGCTCGTACGTGCTGCTGAGAGCAAGAGAGCAACTGGCTGCTGCTGAGGCGATGCGGAGGCTGTCATGTTGGTGCCTGTTGCTGCTCCAGCTCCTGCTGCTGTTAGATCAGCAGGAGCAGGAGTAGGAGCCTCTTGCGTACAGGTGCGCGCGGGCCCAAAGAAGGAGGTGATCTGCTGTGGCGCCTGCGCTGCTGCAGTCGAAGCAGTCGTCGAAGGAGCGGAGGTACTTGCGGCCTCATTCTGCTCTGCCTGCACGTTCATGTTGTTGGGGGTCTCCATGCGGGGTGTTTCCCCTCACACAGCTGGCGTGGTTGTGTGTGTGATTGCCCAGGGCAGATGCTGTCACCCCGGTGATAAAGAAGGAGGGGCCCCGTGACTATATGCGGCGTAACTAAAAATATCACTGGGGTGTGTTATCTTATGTACCCCCGGTGATAAATCGATGGTTTGTCAGAAGCGCCCAAAACTATCACCGGGGTGTCGTATTCTGTGGGGGGTGTGCTTTCTTATGTAGGTGTGTTATCTTGTGTCATATACGGTATTTAGCAGGTTTCCAGCCCTCAGGCAACACCACGGCGCTAGGCCTCACTGGGCCTAACCCACCCCTAAAATCTAACCCTAACCCCAAGCTAGGTCGTTGTGCTGTGGGTAGGCCCACGTCGATATAACGAGCTACTGAAGCGCGCTTCGCGCTCGCCAGCCCTGGCGTATATACGCCTCGCGACACTTGATGGGGGTGCCACAGTAGCAAGATCACCGGAACACGATAACAAAGGAGGAAGTAAATTATTTTCCTCACCGTACGGGTGCATCCCTGGGCCGAACGTGTTGAAGATGCGAGCGACGCGTACTTCGATCTTGTGTTGCCTGTGGAAGTCGAAGAAGAGGGTCTCGGCTACCCGCTTGCCCTCGTCGTAGCAAGCTCGCACGCCTACATCCACACGCATGGCGTTGTAGTGCAAAAAAACAAAACAAAAGAGAGGGTTTAATACAACCGAAACATTCATTTCGTTTTCGTGTGTTAGTATGTATGTCTTGACTTCTTGACAGATGGAGTTGAAAAGATGTTACACACGGCAGTCGGTCCCAATTTCTTCACCGAGTTATTGCACACCACACCCGGACAACAGTGCGCGACCATGATCTCGATCAAACTCTTGGACGCTGACATGTGTGTGTCAGACGCGCCAAGCAACACAATTCAACTCTCTTGACATGACAAGGAACGCCACGTCCGGCCAACGCAGAGTACTGTAGGTGCTTTCGCCGTGGCTGCAGTCGACGCGCGTGCTCCGTGCCCCGCCTTCATCGCGAAAAACGATACGCAACCAAGCTCCGGCAGGCAAGGAAGAAACCACGTCTTTTCCACCACGAAAAGACGGCTACATGCATCTCAAACATGGCCCCTCAGACAAGACAGTGTCGCCGGTCCCACACACACAGTAACTACTCTCTCCGACACCCGAACAAGCGGCGGGGAGACTAGAAGTCGCCTGGGTACGCACCGTGACAGTTGACGTTACCCCAGTACGACTCCGTCTGCGGACTCTCTTGCGCATCCCCGTACACCTGGCGAAGACACAAGCCAGAAATGGGGACAACCAAGAGAGCACCAAGGAGAGGATAGGGGAGCGGTTACACCGCCGCAAGAAGAGCATGGAACATGTACAAAGGTTTGTTGGCGGGCAGAGTGCCCGTACGACTTCGCACCACAAGTTGAAGCAGGCAACTCACAATCAAGCAAGCAGACGGAGAGAGCACGCAAATCGAACCATGACGTCACAATCTGCTGCGCCACAAGCTGAACTCGCGGAATCTACAAAAACGTGTGCCGCAAGGATGCCTTCCGACAGCGGTGCACCAGGCGCAATCGATTTCCGGCTGGTTGTTACACAAACACAAAAAGATGCTCTACGTTTCTACAGCAGTACCACGTTGTGGCACACGACCGACAGTCATTGCCATCGCGTCCCCGATCGGTGGCTACATACGGTTGGCTGCCTACCTCGCTAGTGGACGCCTGGAGGATGCGGGCGTTTACTCGCTTCGCCAGCCCCAGCATGTTCATCGCTCCGAAAAAGGAAACCTGTTTTTGTATTCCAAACACGAAATTGTACACGCGAACCGGTCAGATGGTGTTAGCGCGGTCGACGCCAGGTAGACAGACAGGAAAAGAATAACGCATCACAAGCGTCCGGTGGGCTCAGACCTCGAGAATAACGGAGTTCGCACAACACACTCACCTTTACCGCAAGACCATGGTGAACGGGGTGGAAGCGAATCATTGTAAGCATTCAAGAGAAGATAAGCTTCGGGTGATAAATCAACAAGCAAACATATGCCTGCCGAGAGAGCAACACCTGTTTCTCAAGCGCTGCGTCAGGAAGCCTCGACATGCACACGCACGCAGACAGAAACCTCTCTCCTGTGCAGCACAAGGAAAACCCCGTCGGCTGGTCGTGGCCAAGAGCGAGACAGGAAAGACTCCTAGTGTACGCGGCTACAACACAACCTTGACTCATACTCCTTGAATACGCCCTTCACACGGCAC